AGCATGTTATTCTTGGTTATCTTCCATAATTTGGATTTAGAAAATGAGGAATTTTAAGATAATGAATTTTTGAGGAATTATATATATATTTTTTAGGATTTAAAATTACAGATTTTTTGAGGTTTAAAAAAAATATTGCGTTTTCTAGCTGTCGGGAGCAGCAGACGCTGCCAGCCAACAGCCCATGCTGTTGTGTTTGCAGCAGCTCCTGGGCTGCTTATGCATGCCTGCGCCATTTCTTCGGACGGCGCCCCCAAGAAAGAGATGAAGTGAATTTTTTTTTTCTCTAGGAATTTTTTTAGTTTTGAGTGAATTTGGGGCGAGGGCTTGTTGTGAAAATTAGGTAATTTGAGGCCCTTGCTTGTAATTAGGGGTTAGGGTTCAAAATTTAAGGTTTTAAGTCCCTAACATTTTAAAGTTCATTCAAATTGGGCCTTTAGGTTTTGGGTTTAATAATTCAATCCCCTAAAGTTTGAAAATTAATTAATTCGTGCCCTAAAAATTCTGAACTTTATAATTAAGGCCCTCAAACTTTAATAATCAATTCAAATTGGCACCCAAAGTTTTAATTTGTTATAATTGACCCCTTAAAGATATGAATTGATTAATTTTGGTCCCTAAAGTTTTAAATGTATTAATTTTGGCCCCCTGAAGTTTGGAATTATAGGTTTTGAATTATTTACCCTAAGGCCCCTAAAGTTTAAAACTAAATCAAATATGCAAAATTGGGGACTCTCTTTCTCAAATTTTGGTACTAAGGACTCTTTTAAGAGATATAATACTCGAAAGTTAGTTAACTGAAGCAACATATTGCCAAAACAACATCTCTTGTGGAAATTTATTAACTTAGAATATTAAAAGGTGTTAGTGCATGTATTATTCATGGAAATATTGATCGGCTCAAATGAAGGTTAATATTAGCCGAATACACGTGCATCTATGGTGATAAACATGTGGCGATTATTTGATTTAATGTGTGATCAATAAATCGGTCCAAAGAAAGGTTTATTTATTAACACATTGTTTTATTGTCAATGTTTGATCACTACGCCAAGAGTATCACTTACAAGTCAATATTTCTGTCCAAAGACTAGATATTGATGTTCTGCTAGGTATCTTGTAATGGGCCCTACCACTATTTGAGATTATTATTATTTGCATATTAAAGTTATTCATGTGAGCTATTTGAAATAATCGTTTTCAAATTCAGTTTCAGGTTCTGCTGCTAATATCTCTGCTAGCATCATTTCAATTTCAATGCTAAATGGTACAAATTTTAGGGCATGGCAAGAGAATGTAATGATTGTTCTCGAAATCATGGACTTGGACCTTACTTTACAGGTCGATCAACCTGCTGCACTTACTAATAAGAGTACCTCTGATGACAAGAGAGAGATGAAAAAATGGGAACGATCGAACTGCATAAGCTCAATGGTCATGAAGCGTGCTATTCTAAAAGCATTTCGGGGCACTATGTCCGATAAGGTGACTACGACTAAGGGTTTCCTTAAGGATCTTGAGAAGAGGTTTGCTAAGAATGAAAAGACTGAAACAAGTACACTTTTGGCAAACCTTGTCTCAATGGGGTTTAAAGCGAAATGAAATATACGAGAGTACATTATGGAAATGTCTCACATTGATTCAAAACTAAAGGTACTTAAGTTGAATTTATCTGAAGACTTGTTAGTACACTCGGTTCTGATATCCCTTTCGGCACATTTCAGTCAATTCAAGGTGAGCTACAACTGTCAAAATGACTCATGGTCCCTTAATGAGCTCATCTCACACTGTGTCCAGGAAGAGGAAAGATTGAAGTATGAGAAGATATAAAATGCTCATTTAGCCACCATCTCCAAGGACAAAAGGAACAAGAAAATGAAAACTGATAAGGAAGTTGCGGGTATAGCATCGCAAAGAAATAACATAAAGAACCAACTGAAGGTGGCTGTTTCTTCTGTGGAGCTACAAGTCATAAAAAGACGAATTACACCAATTACCACGCATGGCGTGTAAAGAAAATGTATTATTCTTCATTTGGTTTATTTTGAGGTTAATTTAACTTCGATACCTAGACATACATACCGGATAGATTCTGGTGCAACAACTCACATCAGTGTGTCTATGCAAGGTTGCCTGAGTTGTCGAAAATCAAGTAATGGTGAAAGATATATTTAGATTATTGTTAAAGACCAGTTTCTATTTGGATCTTGATAAGACATTTATTGTACTGTTTTTTAGATGGAATTTGATTTCTATTTCTATTTTGGACAAATTTGTTTATTATTGTTCATTTAGAAATGGAAATTTTAGTTTGTTTCATGATTTAAAATTGGTCGGTTCCGATTCTTTATCAGGTTACGATAATTTTTATTCAATTGATACAATTGCTTCTTTTAATGAATCCTTGCATGTAAGCACTAGAGGTGTAAAACGAAAATTAATCGACGAGAATTTTGTCTGGTTGTGGCACAAGAGATTAGGTCACATCTCCAAAAGGAGAATTGAGAGACTTGTGTCTGACAAGATTCTCGACCCTCTTGACTTCACAGATTATGATTTGTCTGTCAACTGTATAAAGGGAAAACAAACCAATAAAAGGAGATTTCAAGTCAATAGGACTTCAGACGTCTTAGAACTTATACATACGGATATTTGTGGACCATTTTCTACGGGTTCTTGGAATGGTCAACAATATTTTATAACGTTCATAGACGGCTTTTCAAGATATGGCTACATATATCTCATTCATAAAAAATCACAGTCACTGAATACGTTCAAAAATTATAAAACTGAAATTGAGAACCAACTCGGCAAAATGATTAAAAGCGTCATATTTAACCATGGTGGTGAATACTATGGCAAATATGATAGTTCAGGTAAACAATGTCTAGGACCATTTGCTAAATTCCTAGAGGAATGCGATATTGTCCCACAGTATACTATGTCGGGTTCGTCCACTATGAATGATGTTGCTGAGAGACAAAACAGAACGTTTAAGGACATAGTGAGGAGTATGATTAGTCATTCTACCTTACTAGAATCTCTTTGGGGTAAAGCATTAAAGACCGCAGCATATATACTCAACAGAGTTCCAACTAAGGCCACTGATAAAACCCTATATGAGCTTTGGACTGGTAAGAAACCTAGTTTAAAGCATATACATATTTGGGGGTGTCCAGTTGAGGCAAGGCCCTATAAGATAAATGAAAAGAAACTGGATGCAATAACCATTAGTTGCTACTTTATTGGATATTCTGAAAGGTTCAGGGGTTACAAATTTTATGATCCCACAACTAAGGCAATTTTCAAGATAGGAAATGCTCGATTCTTTGAGGATGTTGAGTTTGCGGGGAGAGAAAGGGTTACATGGTTTGTCTTTGAGGAGGAATATGTTGAAATTCCTCCAATTGCCATTGACAATGATCAGGTTTCTATCCTTGAAATTGTTCAGGAAGCAACTTTGGATCAAGACAATGTCGTATCTCCTTCTCAAGGTCAACAAATTATTCCAGAAAAACAAACTCTACAGTCTCAAAAACCAATGGCATTAAGAAGATCCATTAAAGAGAAGAGAATTGTAGTTTCAGATGATTACATTGTATTTCTCCAAGAACATGAGTTGACATTGGAATGGTAGAAGATGATCCGATCAACTTCCATCAAGTCATGAAAAGTTCTAACTCTAAAAAGTGACTCGATGCCATGAATGAAAAGATAAAGTCCATTGAGGACAATGATGTATAAGACAGCATTCCATTGCCTGAAGGTGTGAAATCCATTGGTATGGATATTTAAGACCAAGATGGATTCGAAGGGTGATGTAGAGAGGTATAAGGCTCGTCTTGTCGCAAAAGGTTTTACACAGAAAGAAGGCATCGATTATAAAGAGACTTTCTCTCAAGTTTCTTCGAAAGACTCTTTCAGAACTATAATGGCATTGGTAGCGCATTTTGATCTCGAGTTACATCAGATGGATTTTAAGATAACGTTTCTCAATGGTGACATTGATGAAATAGTTTATATGATACAACCTAAAAACTTTTGTATCGGACGATGCAAAGAAAATTGTTTGTAAATTAAAGAAATCCATCTATGGACTCAAACAGGCATCTAGTCAATGGTATTACAAGTTTCATTAAGTGATCATCTCATTTGGTTTTGAGATGAATTTGGTCGATGATTATATATACTACAAGTTCAGTGGGAGCAAGTATATTTTTCTAGTTTTATATGTTGATGACATATTGCTTGCCAGCAACGACATAAGCTTATTGTACGAAACCAAGAGATTTCTAGTAAAGAATTTTGAGATGAAAGATCTTGGTGACGCATCTTTTGTATTGAAAATTCAAATACATCGAGATCGTTCTCGGGGTATTCTTAGATTATTACAAAAGAGCTCTATCGAAAAAGTTCTTAAAAGATATGGCATGTAAGACTGTAAATCAGATGACACCCTTGTAGCTAAAGGAGACAAGTTCAATTTAAGTAAGTGCCCTAAAAATGACTTGAAAATTAAAGAAATACAAAAGATTTCTTATTCCTCGGCTATAGGGCGTCTCTGATGTATGCTCAGGTTTGTACACGTCCGGATATAGCATACATTGTTGGAATGCTAAGGAGATATTTAAGTAGCTAGGAATGGATCATTGGAAAACAGCCAAATGGGTCACACGGTATTTACAGAGAACAAAAAGACTATATGCTCACATACAGGAGATCGAGTCAGTAGGAGATCAACAGTTAGTCTGATTCTGATTTTGCGAGATGCCAAAATAGTAGGAGATCCACTGCTATGAGGCATCAAACCGTGGAATATGGCTGCGAAATTTTATCACTGGGCTGCACATTGTGAACAATAAGAAAGACCGCTCAAGTTATTTTGTGACAATAAATCAGCAGTGTTATATTCCAATAATTGCAGGAGCTTGACGATGTTGAAACATATAGAGATCAAGTTCCTAGCTGTTAAAGAAAGAGTTCAGAGTGGACAGGTGTCAATGAAGCACATTGAGACAAACTCCATAATTGCCGATCCGCTTACTAAGGAATTGATACCCAAGGTCTTTTATAAGCACACTACTCATATAGGTGTAATATCTCTTGAGGATATTTAGTTTCAGTGAAAGTTTGCATTTTTGTACTAGACACATATACTATCATTTTGGATATGGTTTAAGGTTAAAGAAATTTTCAGTTATAAAGTTTTGGTTTATTATTTCTGAACTTATTTGAAATGATCTCATTAAGGTATTAAGGTGGACCAGTTGGAAATAGGTATATTACAGATCACATCACATGTAATTTTCATGCTATACATCCATGCTTGATCCATATCATTCAATTATATCGATATACGTGACCATTGATGGGTTTAGTTACAATGAAAGTAACGAAAGTCACTTTAATCCTATGTTGATATGATTGATGGACCGGATTGTTTGGGGATGCATTCAGTAATGATAGCCAAATTCTGAGTACTCATACGGTTATATTTAATGCACAATTATAAGGTGACACATATAGTCCAAGTGGGAGATTGTAAGAAATTTTAAGCAATCATGTGGGCTTATATGTGTAAATTATCGTGTATTAAATTAAAAGCTATCGAATTCCGTTGAGCTCATTTAAAGTGATCTAATGAGGCTTAGATTTTGGGCCGTTATGCATCCAATTAAATGTGGGTTCTATATGTGTAAAGACCCGGCTCAGATTCCTAATTCTATGATGGACCGAATTAGGTTAAAGGGTATCAATATCTAACTTCTATTAAAAACGTGAATGGGATGGCACAGTAGACACAACATTAAACCAATCCCATTTATTGCTCACGCTCTTTTCCCTCTTTTTTTTGTTGTGAATAAAAAAAAAATTCTTTGCTTCGACCATGCCAAAACCATGCTAACCGTACTCCACGACCATACTCCTTATTTTCCTTTTTATTCCTTTTTATTGATATTTTCATTCCTACTTTTTCGTGAAGTCTGTTCTTGTTGGATCACATATTCTCACTTCATCTTCGATTCTCTTTTTTTTCTTGGCTTTTAAGCTTGCTGTAAGTATAGGAAGACAACAACATTGGATACCTACATGTACAAAGGTTGATTTTCTTCGATCTATATTTGATGGAGGAAATAAAAGTCCAACTAATGTAGAAATTCTACATATAGTCTCCACTTTATCATTACACAATCCTGTTATTTCTGGAAAAAAATGTTGGTGATTGGTTTAAGAATAGACGAGCTTGTGAAAGAAAGAGAAAGCACACGTGCATTGAGAATCCTCAACTCAAAAATCTGATGCATGAAGTGCAACCTTCTTCTGTAGATCGACATTTAAGAACCTTCAGCTTAACAGATTGTATTTAGTAGTTTTTATGCTTCTTTGGGTGCTTGTATTTATTTTGATTAGATTTTTTCAAAACAAAAAAAAATTAGAATAAAATAAAAAATAAGGTGCCAGATAGCGCATGAGTTCAGTACTTATTTTTTGGGCAGTTTGAACAAGCTAATTTTGTAGTTTTTTTTTATATAATAATTATGTTTAGTTTTTAGTTTAATCTGTTATTGTTATTGTTAGAGAAAATTTTTTGAAGTTCCGCACTGTGCGGAGAGTGTGCGAAGAGTGCGGAGGAAGAGTGATCTCTCCGCATAGTTCGCAGAGATGAATTCATCTCTGCGAACCCTTCGGAGATTTTTTTTTTTTGCGGTTTTTTTTTATATAATATAGTTTTTCAAATGTTTTTTTGTTATAATTTCTTGTCTTTTCAAATTTCTTACTAATCAACATTTTCAATCAAGGAATAAGGGGAATGAGTGTGAGTGCAGAAAAAATTGCTAAAGTAAATACTTATGTTTTGTCATCTTCTAATTCTCCTGTTACAAAAAACTAGAAAATAAGCAGAGGATTTTGTTGTAATGGAAAGGTTTTTAGTAAAAAAAAGTTATTAGTATAGTTTTTTGTTCCTTCGCAGAGAGATGTGTTTTTAGTTTTGCTATAGAAAAATTTTTCGAAGACTCCGCATTGTACGGAGACTGTGCGGAGAGTGCGGAGGAAGAGTGATCTCTTTCCACACTTAGGAGAGATGAATTCATCTCTGCGAACTATTCGGAGAATTTTTTTTTAGCGGTCTTTTTTATATAATATATAGTTTTCTTTATATATTTCATTATAATTTCTTTTCTTTTTTTTAAAAAAATCTCTTCCTTTCATGATGCTAATCAATATTTTGAATAAGGGGAATAAGTGTGAGTGTTGAATAAGGAAATACTTATCGTTATGATGGAAATGTTTTTAGTATGATTTACTTCTATATCTTTTTAAAAAAGTTGTTAATGTTTGCCTTTGTATAGTTTTTAGTTTATCATCTTGTTGTGCTTTATTTGTTTTATTTGTTTATTGGCCGAAAACTCCTTCTTTCGCAGAGATCAATTATCTATTCGGCCTTTTTGCAGTTTTTTTTTTTAAATAGCTCTTGTTTGGTCTTTTTTATATATAATTATGTTTATGTTTAGTTTATTTATATGGAATGCGTTTTTCCTTACAATTTCCTTTTTGTTTCGAATTTCTTCTTGTAGGTGATGCTAATCATCGTTTTGAATTATGAGGAGAATCAGGTGACGTGAACATGAGTGTTGAATATGCAGAAAAATTTGTGAAGGAAGTATTCCTAATGAACCTTATGTTTTGCCATCTTCTAAAATTTGTGGTTATTGTGGTGCTACAAAATTCTATAGAGAAAGCAAAGGCTTTTGTTGCTGTGATGGAAATGTCAAATTACAGTTACATGATATACCTCCTGAAATGTATGATTTATTTAATTCCACATCTGAAGAGACTGTAGCTTTTAGAAAGGTTATTTGTAGTTATAACAATCATTTTGCATTTACTTCATTTGGTGTTAAGTATGACAAAGAATTGTGTAAGAATAATAAAGGTATATATACTTTTAAAGTTCAAAGACAAGAATACCATTTCATAAACTCGCTTGTGCCAAAGAATGAGAATCCAACTTATTTACAGTTATACTTCTATGATACTGAAAATAAAATTTGTAATAGACTGAATACTTCTGATAAGTTTTGTGAGTTTACTTTAAGAAAGTTGATAGATGTTCTAAACAAATATCCCTATTCAAAGTTTTTTCGATCATTAAGTGAAGTTAGTGATTTAGAATCATGTTGTCTTTTACTAAAGTCTAATCCTGCTGTTGATCAAAGAGTATATAACTTGCCAATATCAGAACAAGTGGCTGTAGTTTGGGTTAACGATGACCGATCATCTACAAATACTAGAGGTCAGGATTTATTAATTTATGAGCATTCAGGTAATGCATATAAAGTTCAATACTATTATGGTTGTTATGATCCTCTCCAATATCCACTACTTTTTCCGTATGGAGAACCTGGATGGCATGAAGGTATTAAAAAGGTGAATGTAAGTGTTTCACAAGCTTGGGTTTGTCAGAATTTAATAGAAGTTAATCATGTCCATTCTGCGGATCAATTATTGAAAGTAGAAGACTAAAATTCAGACTTTCTTTTTGATGCTGCAATCACATAAAAACATAAATTTGAGGCTCAATAGCTAAATACATGGCAATTGAATCATAAGCCGAGATCATAAAGAAGGGATTAGAAGAGATTAGCACTTTGGTTAACATTGGAAATTAGACTAGCCCTCGTATCGTAAGGCAGGCTACTGATTAGCTTGATGAGCAGAAAAGCAGACTGACCAAGGAGAGAATTTCTTTGATGAATGGCATTTTCTAATCTTTAAATAAGATGAGATAGATTTGACTTTGACGAACCGAAAGAACCAAACCAATAGGCTGATTGAGTCTATTTTAGTAATTTCTATTTCTCAAACTATTTTATTTATGTTATTAATTGCATTTAGTTAATGAAGTTTTTGTTGTTATATATTTTTTCCTTCTTGCAGTTTTGAAGGCAAAGAAAAATCGAATAACTGTATCATGTCGAGAATATTATTGTTACAAACTTCAAATCAGGTGTGTAAATAATTGTATTCTTTTACATGCTGGCAGACTTTTACAGCAATATGTTGTAGATATATACGTGAAAATTGAAACAGTAAGATTAGACTACTTTCGTAATAACCAAAAAGTTATAAGAGCTGAACTATATCGGGGAATTGTGGATAGTGTACAAAATGGTGAAAATAAAGATTATAAAATTGGTAAATCATTAGTGTTGCCTTCTTGTTTTATTGGAGGTCCTAGGAACATGACTAAAAGATATATGGATGCAATGTCTTTAGTTCAGAGATATGTCAAACCAGATGTGTTTTTGACAATGACATGTAATCCAAATTGGCGTGAAATAAAATGTGAATTGAAACACAGTGATGAAATACAGAATATACCAGATTTATTAGTACAAATATTTCGTGCGAAGTTTGAGGAATTGAAGACAGATTTGGTAAAGAGAAAGTTGTTGGGTCCTATTTCTGCATATGTTTATGTTATTGAATTTCAAAAAAGAGAATTACCTCATGCTCATTTTCTCCTTATATTTCGACGAAATTCTAAGATCCGAAACTCTATACAAGTTGATGAAATTGTCTTATCAGAAATACCAGACAAAAAAATACCCTTACCTACATGCTACTGTTGTAAAACATATGATGCATGATCCCTGTGGGAATTTCAATCATAAGAATGTTTGTGTGGAAAAGAATTTTGTGTGTAAAAATAAATATCCGAGAGATTACATTGAAAATACTTCTTTGGATAATGATTCCTACCCACTTTACAATCGTCGCAATGATGGTGTAAAAGTTAAAGTAAGAGGCTGTATGTTGAATAATAGATGAGTTGTACCGTATAATCCTTACATTTAGCTAAATATGATTGTCACATTAATGTGGAGGTGTGTTCTTCTGTTAAAACTGTTAAATATCTATACAAATACGTATATAAGGGACATGATCGCATTCATTTTACTTTAAATAAAGAAACAAACGAAGAATTCGTTGATGAGATTTCAAACTACCAAACAGCTAGATGAATATCTCTACCTGAAGTTATGTGGAGGATATTTAGTTTTGATTTATTTGATATATCTCCAACAGTAATCTCTTTACAGTTACATACTAAAGATGCTCAAATGGTTACATACAAGGAGACTGATGATTTATCAAAGGTTATGATTTTGTTCACCGAATAATGTTAACATAATTTTTTAGAATGAATATTTCAAATGAAAAGACAAAAACTTTACCGTATAAAGATTTTCCAACCTATTTTATATGGGATACATCCATGCGAATTTGGACTCTTAGAAAAAGCAAAAATGTTATTGGTAGAATAGTCAGTGTTAATCCATGTGAAGGTGAGAGGTATTTTTTAAGAGTTTTACTAAATCATATTAGAGGACCAAAATCTTTTGAAGATTTAAAAACATTCAATGGTATTGTTTTATCTACTTATTGTGAAGCAGCACTTTCCCATGGTCTTCTTAGTAGAGATAACTATTCTGATATGTGTTTATCTGAGAAAGTTGCTTACCAAATGCATGTATCACTGCGATGACTATTTGCCAATATATTGAGTTTATCTTGCCCTATAAATCCAAGGAATTTATGGGATAAATTTAAGAATTTCATGATAGAAGATTATTTACATAAAGGTTTCACACAACAAAGTGCTGAAATGAAAGCTTTACACTGTATAAATTCTTTCTTAGAAGGTGTTGGTAAAAATATAATTGATTTTTGCCTGGTAGATTTTGATTTAACTGTGAATGATGATAATATCTTTGAAACCATGATTTCTGAAGAAAAAACTAATATTAATTTTCAGTCAGACATACATTATAATGAGAGTTTAAATAAAGAGCAACAAAATGCGTATGATATTATTTTGGACTGTGTTTTAAATGATAAGAATGGAATGTTTTTTATTGATGATCCAGGAGGCACTGGAAAAACATATTTGTACAAGGCATTACTTTTTGGTGTACGATCTCGAAATCTTATCGCACTATCAACGGCATTATCAGGTGTGGCTGAATCTCTATTACCAGCTGGTAGAACAGGACATTCAAGATTTAAAATTTCGCTTGAAGTAAGTTGTGATATGCGCTATTCAGTGAGTAAACAGTCTGTGCTTGGTAAACTTTTAGCATTGTCTAGGCTAATAATCTGGGATGAAATACCAATGGTTCATAAATATGCTTTTGAGGCTTTAGATAAAATGTTGAGAAACGTTACTGGATGTCAATTATCATTTGGTGGAAAAGTCGTGTGTGGAAGAGATTTTCGCCAAGTTTTACCAGTAGTACAAAGAAGAACAAAAGATATAATGAAGGCAAGTTTAGTTTCTTCGCATCTATGGCCTTCTTTTACACAGCTAGCATTAACCGAAAATATGAGAGCTAAATTAGATCCTTCATTTTGTGAATATTTGCTGAAAATTGGGAATGGAATAGAGAGAACACATTCATGTCAAATGATTACATTTCCTGAAGATATTACCATCCATTTTGAAGATGAATTTAAATCATTGAAGGAATTAATTGACATTGTGTTTTTCAATTTTCAGACATATGGAGACAACCTACATATTATAATGAGTAGAATTATTTTAACCCCAAAAAATGAATATGCAGATTTAATAAACAATATGTTGCTTAAAGAAATTCCGAGAGAGAAAGTTACATATTTTAGTTTTGATGAAGTGATTGATAAAAATAAAGGTTTTATTGATGAAGATTTTTTGAATAGTCTAGCTCCAAACAGTATACCTCCATATAAACTCATACTGAAAAAAAATTGTCTAGTTATGTTGTTTAGAAATATCAATCCTGCAGAAGGTTTATGCAATAGAACTTGACTTATTTTTTGTGACTTTAAGCAGAATGTTATCTTGGCTGAAATTGGGATAGGAGAATATTGTGGAAAGCAATTATTTTTACCTAGAATTCCATTTATTCCTCTTGAAGGCGATAAACAGTCTGTACCATTTAAAAGAACTCAATTTCTAATTCGTCTATGTTTTGCAATGACCATTAACAAATCTCAAGGTCAAACTCTAGATTTTGTTGGCTTATATCTTCCAGAATCTGTATTTTTTCATGGCCAATTGTATGTTGCATTGTCCCGAACTAGAACAAGAGAAAATATAAAAGTTCTTATCAAACCTTTTGTCAAAAATAAATCACATAATTGTTGTACCAAAAATGTTGTCTATCATGAAATCTTGAATTTAGTTCACAATAATTATTAGAATCTTCAGGTATATACTTAATTGTTTGTTATAATTCTTTATTGATTATATTTATTTTTACAAATACAAATTAATAAAAAATCTAAATTTATGATTTCTGATTGTCATGATGAAATATTGATTTTGCAAAATTTTATCTTTGCAAAAAGGATTTCTGAAGTTATTCCTTTCAGAAATATATTTTCCTAATATAAGTATTGATCGCACATAACTTTTTTCAGTGTATGACTTTTTTTGTTTACTAATCGTCATTGATTATTCATATTAAGTTGTGTAGTTGTCAGATATTGTGTGGTGCTTAATACGAATACAATTGGTGAAGTTGATATTTAGAAGTTTAGATAGAGATGAAAAAACCGTTTGTGGAAACCACTTCTGTAAGTTAAAGTAACTTAATCATTTTATCATTCCATAGTTATATTCTTGTGTAAATATATTCCTATGATAAGTGATATTATTACAAAACATACAGGTTGATTCTACTTGAAAACATTTTCTTGAAGGTGAATCGATGTATATATGTGTGTTGATGTAACCATTTATGTATTAATATATAATATATAAGAGAATGTTATGTTTTAATTAGAAAGACTGTAGTATTTTTTAATTGTAAAGAAATGAAAAGTGTAATTTAAAATCTGCATGCAATTGTTTAAGATAATTAATGAAAAAGTGAAATGGATAGTCATAAATATTAAACATTATTGGTGTACAAAGTTTCACAGACAAGTTAGAGTTCCATCGTTGTGATTTCTTTTGTAAACCATGAACATTGGAGATTCGCTATTTAATAATTTAAATACACATGTATCTCCAATTTCTAGCTCATTCTCTGTCAAAAAATTGGCCCAGCCTACAGTAAGTCGACGCATCGCACCGTTTGGTCTTGAATTCGCAGTGATATCCCAGTTGTGATGTAAAGAATCATGAAACCAAACATTCCGCACATATCTTGGTAGATGGTGTCTTGCAAACCTTCCTGGTATGGATTTCAGAAAAATATGGATGATGTTAAGATTAAAATAATCTAAAAAAGGTAAATATAGAATGATATATTAAAGATAGCCTACAATTTCTTGATAGTTGTTCTAATTTAGCATCAGTGTTACTTCGAATGTAGGATTATCCAGATGTAAAGCCTCATCTTCTTTAACATCAGAGCCATATGTAACCTCTGATCTAGAGTGATCAAATATCCTCATATTGAACGTTGAATTTCCATCATATTCAAATACTACAACAAAACCATCCTGTAAGTTATGATGGTAAAAAAATTGCTCCCATCCATTAGTCAAATATGTTTCTCCATCGATTGTTTGTAATTGTATTGTTACAATTATATCATCATATGAAGTTGATTTACTCTATCACCTAATTCTTGTCTCCAACAATTGACAAAAGTTGTAGGAAGCATCTGCAATATATGAAAAAAATATAGGCAGTAAATAAAACATTCATACAAATATGAAATGAAAGAAGATATTATATTTTATATAACTTACCAAACGGATGTTATGATTTAGTGAAATGTCGATAATTTTAAAGAAGCTATGTGGTACATCCATTTTTATGTTGATAAACTGCAGTATGTATGATTTTTAACACAATTAAAGATTGAAAATTATATATCATTTAAAACTAAGAATTTATTTTGAAACAATTGTAGTAAAAGAATCAAGAAAGAAATACTACATTAAACTTGATTTTTTTGAGGAAAGCTTGGTAGGTAAAGATAAAGATATGCAAATTGGTTAAGTATAAAGAAGTGGTATGAGAAGCTATTTAAACTAAATAATACTTGTCCTTTTTTGAGAAAAGATTTGACAACAACTTCATGGAGTAGGATTATTGAAATAGACAAAGTAAGAAATGGACAAAGTAGTTCAAACAAAACACTATTCTCGAGATTATTTTTTTGATACTGCTAGATTTGGTTAGAAATGCATTTTATTATTAAGATGTAAAGTGTTGAAATAAAATAAAAAATGACTAATAAGATTAAGAATAAATAAAAGTATAATTTTATGCAATTAACAAAAGAATAGTTTAGTTACACAATAAAACTATCCAATTGGTTTGATAATAATTAATAATTTAAAGTGCCAAAAAAAACACGCAGATATGTTGCCCACCGTGCGGAGTAACTTTACTACGGTTTAGTTAAGTGCGGATAACTTTGCTATGATTAAGCAAAAAAAAAGAAGGCTAACATATTAATCAAATTATTTGATTAATCAATAAAACAATTACTAAACAATCAAAAATTAATAATTTAGTAGATAAAAATTTAAATCAAAACAAAAGAGAAAAAAAAAGAGAGGAAGGAAATACTCCGCACAGTGCGGAGTACTTGTTAAAGTTGCTCCGCGCATCCGCACGGTGGACAAACTTTAGACAATACGGCTTATTTTTTACATACTGCTAGATTTGGTTAAAAATGAATTTTAATACCAAGATGTAAAGTGTTAAAAAAAAAAAAAAAAAGACTAATGTGATTAAGAAGAAATAAAAGTATAATTTTATGAAATTAACAAAAGAATAGTTTAGTTATACAATAAAACTGTCCAATTGGTTTGATATGGTCTAATATGGCAATTGATTGTTTGTTTACTGACAAAGTAAACAATTAATAATTAATGATTTAAATTGCCAAAAAAACAACATGCAAATCCTTCACATAGTGCGAAGTATTAGCTAGAATACTCCACATGAACAACTTTGCAACGATTAAGATGAGAAAAAAAAAATTGGTTAATATATTAATCAAATTATTTGATTAATCAGTAAAAAAAATTATTAAACAATTCAAAATTAATAATTTAGTAAATAAAAATTTAAATCAAAATAAAAGGGAAAAGAAAGGGGGCAAAATACTCCGCACACTGCGGAGTACTTATTGGAGTTGCTCTGCACTATGCGGAGCAAATGCTCTGCACTGGCATGTGGAGCATTTGCTCTGTATAGTGTGGAAAAGTTCTTCGCACTGTACGGAGCAAATTTTTTTTCCTTTTAAATTTTTTTTCTTTTTTATTGAAATTATTATTTATTATTAATTGTTTATGTCATGCGCCATATCTCTATCTATCTGAATTTTACACACATACATGGTAAACTAATCTATTCCCATTCCTATGTATTTATAAATTTCAGACTAATTTATTTCAAATACATTATACTCTAGAATGTACTTATATATAACTTGCCATACTCTAAAATGTATTTTTATATAACTTACCATACTTCACCGATTTTATCTATTTTTTTTTTTACTTTAAACTATTTCATTTCTCTTGCACAAGAGTGATTTTTTTTTTCCCTTTTTAGTGCTCCAAATAGTGCCGAGCAATTTCGACAACTCTTGTAGAGCAAATTTTTTTTCCCTTTTCTTTTGGAAAATTTTCCCTCTTTTTTTATTCACATTATTTTTTACTAAATAATTAATTATTATTGATTGTTTACTGTCGTGATACCTTCACAATACTACCTTCTCCATACTGGTATACATATCTTTTTTCTATCTCATACCTTACAGATTTTATCGTACGAAACTAATCCACTGCTCTACACATTTCATCATACAGAGACTAATCCATTTCTATACATTATATTCTAGATGTACTTTTATATAATATACTTGATAAAAAAATTTCAGATTAATCGATCAACTGATTTACTTAGCCATATTTCACCATACTTCATTGATTTTATCTCTTTTTTTTAAAAAAAATTGACAAAATATACTATATCTATTTAAACTATTTCATTTCCCTTCTAAAATTACCATCCTCTTTTGCTGTACTCTAACTGTATTTGACATATTATTTATTTTAGATTAGATAAAATGGAAGAAGAATACAAACTCATAACAGAAATTTTCTCAAACAACGAGAAGTGGAAAGCCAAAGCCATTGTTATCGAAAAACAATCACCAAAACCTTCTAAACAAGGCAATGGAAGATATCAACATCTGGTATTGATGGATACTCAGGTAACTCTTCTTATTGTTAGTTATAAAAGTTGGCTTCAACTTCAAACCAAAACTATTAAAACTTCTCATTCATATATAATCAGATAACTAAGAAATTTCTCATTATTTTTCTTTTTCATTCTCCAGGGAATACTATCCAAGCTACCTTATATGATTCCAATATCAGTGCTTTTGAGGATCAACTTGTTTTGGGGAAAACATATGCCATTTCAAAAACTTATGTGAAGAATAACACGGGAAACTACAAATATTCGATAGGATCTTATCATTGGATTATATCTGAACAAACTCGTCTTGTTGAAATAAATGAAGATAACCTGGAATTTGTTTTTTCAACATATCAGCTGACAGCTTTTCATGAAGCAGAAGAATATATGGATGCAGATACTAATATAAGTAAGAAATACATATTTTTTGTTATTCATCATGTTATCTTGAATTATTCAATTATTTATTAGTTATTATATTTAAAAAAATAATCAGAGAGTCATTTTAAAATTTATACTTTCAGATATACTCGCGGATGCAATTGATATGACGCTTAAACGAATGATTCAATCAAAAGATGGCAACCAAACATGGGTACAAGATGTATTGCTCCTGGACAAAAATTTCAAAACAATGATGCTTACACTTTGGGATTCCTTTGTTGATAGAGAATGTGTAGTAATAACGGAGAATATAGAGAAAAAACCAGTCATCTTTGCAACACGTCTCAAAGTTACGTCTTTCTTTGGTATGTGTTATGTATTTAGTTGTTGGTATGTTTTACGTTACATTAGCATATAATAATTTGCACCTGTACGCAGGTTTGAAATTGTCCACAAAAGTCCGTAGTGCTTTCTTCATAAATACACCTTTAATCGAAGTAAAAGAGATGACAAAATGGTATGTAAAATAAAGTGATTTTATTTTATTATTCTTTTTTCCTATTCCCTCGCCACTAGGGATAGTTTCTTGAGCTTATTTCAAATTATTTACTACGTTTACTAGGGTCAAAGAAAATTCAGTGAAAATAGATAATTTGATATTGAAAAAACCATACATGGAAAGAAGCCTCACAAATCTTTCTCCACCTATGCGAAGTAAATTCCCTCCTATTCAGAATCTTCAAAGACATCTCTTAGCGGTAATGGTATTTACGACAAGTTTTATATATATACATATAAAAAAGTGTACATACATGTTCCTTATTTCAGTTTTGACACCTTTTATGTTTTGACACAGAGGAAGTTTTATTGGGTAAATGACACAGCAGTTACAGACAAAATTGATAACAAATCTTGGTACATGGCTTGCAACAACTGTTATAAACGATCAAATGCTGAATTTGGAGAAAGTTATC